CTAAATATACTGAACTATACTGAACTAAGTAGCCAGTAGACGAACAGCACAGTTCCGGCGCACAGTCGAGTCTGCTGGCCGACAGTCCACCGCGTGCCTCACAACAAGACAGACGTCGGCACGGTGAATAGCGCGTGAAGTATTTTTTAGCGATAGTGGACTTCCACCATGTCTACGGTGCTCTTTCCTTCCTCACCCAGGTGGGCCCGGTGATAAGGTGGAGTCAAGAAAACCGGAGACGGCATAGGGCACATTGGCTGACAAAATTAAACAGCCTTTCTACAGACACCACATCTACTTCTAGTAATCGCTAAATGGCCCAAGTTTTCAATCAGACATAAAGGGGCGACTGAGATCCTAATTGATTGGGAGTACCAGAGGTCCCTTTGAAAGTAAGCCATTGCAGACTGAGCCTCCCTCGTTAGCGAAGGATTGATCAGGCCTTTTTATTGAATGTCAAATTAACGTGCCTGAGCGAACCTGAGACTAAATGACAGAACATCTGGGTCAAGTGTCTTACGTTGGAATGCGGCTAGCAGATGATGAAAAATGGAAGTAATTTTAATAACCATAACTCCAATCTACCGTGCTCCTGTCAGTTGTGGTTTTCATGGTTCGCTGACAAGTTTAACATGCCAGTCGCCGAGGCTGCTACATTTCAGTATCAAAATCAGTTTATTAAGGTGAAGATAGGCGAACGCCTTTGAGCTCCCTATGGTTAACATGATGGCTGGGAAATGTATGGATGCAAAAGAAAAAGGAAAAAACAATAGGTCAATTACATGCGCTCAGGCAAAAAGCGAGTAGCATTTGGGTAGTCTACGAATTAATAAAACATGGTTACTACCTTAGTACGAGTAGTATAAGAAGTATGCGTCATTTAAACCACATGGCAAGTCTGTATGTACATACATATTCGATCTTGCAGGCAGATTATCCTGAAATATCACCGCCGGCTTTCCTAAAGCCTGTAACTCTTTCAACCTCTTTTGCAGGAGGAAGCCGATATTGAGGAGGAGCATCAGGAAGAAGAACACAAAGAACAGCAAGCGGAGGGCGAGGATGAGGAGGCCAAGGCGCAGGACGAAGAGGCTGAACGGAACACGGACGCTGAGCCGGAGGAGGACGCTGAGGAGGTAAGTCTTGCCAACCCAGTCCGCAACGTTTTTACCGTGTTTATCTTGTCATTTTTACTCGTTGTGTGTTTTCTTCTGTCATGCGGCTTTTGGAAACGATGTTCGGCTCTTTTTTGGCTTAGTGGTCCCATCTTTGAAAGGCCAACTTTTCATATTCAGAAGAATGTAGTCTCTTCCGTCACAGTTTACCAATTCCAACCCTATCTTGTCCTTCATTGCCTTAGAACTTCAGTTAGTACAGCGACTATCTCTGGAATGTAATGTTTAAGGAAGTATTAATAGTGAGAGGACAAGACGCTGCTTTACCCCTGCCCCGTCGTAAATGTTATGATGTTGCAACTAGCCAAGATGTTTGCTGTCAAAGTACGCCTCTTTTTAATCCCCAAAGGAGAACTCAACAGCAAGGCAAGCCAGGCGTATGCGTGCATGTGCATGATCAAACCAATCATTTACTGTCCGTGAGTGGGTAGTATGTCGACCGAAGTGGGAGAAAGCTATGCCTGGCCGCAGCTTATGCGATGTCGTCACGCACACGGAATATGGGCCGATCGATAGTGCGGCGTATGATGTGTCATCATGTCGGCGTGCGGACGAGCGAGCGAGGCGGTTAAGGCTGTTCCTAACAGTAAACACACCGTGGCATCCTGTCTTTCTAGCAAGGGATGTCATTATTTAAAAGCCCGCATCTTATAGTTTGGTTTAATCAAATGGCCCCGTTCCTCACCTACAGCTGTGCGATTTAGTGTATACCATGCGTTCAAAAGCTTGCACTCTCCTTTTTTGTCCTATGCTGATATTTTCATTTCTGTTGCTTCCCGTCACATTTATCAGCTCATACCATTTGAAACTGCATATGCTTTTTGTAATTTCTGCCGTCCACCGGAGACAACTTCCTGAGAAACTGTAGTATAATCACGTATCCCCAAGCGTGTCTTTGGCGTTTGTAATTTATTTTATAATGTAACTTTTTTCTCGTCATTATGCAGGATGGAGAATGAACATGAATGTACACACGAAGCGAATCCTACTGAATCTAAAACACCCCTGCGCGGTTTGCCAAGGCTTTGCTAGGAGCAACATCAACAAACCGTCTCAGGGCCAACAACGTATCCGACGTCAACTCATACCGTTCTTTGCACCTCTATTATGTCGTTTACCAGAAAATAAAGAATAAATAAATCACACTTTGTCAGACGAATATATTTGTATTACACTACTTAATCCAGACCCAAAAAGTCTAAAAGGTACTTCTAGCATACTCCTGCGCTAGATCTTTGAAAATTTACTTCTTTACAAGGAAAGAAAGTTCACAAATCCTCGTCCCCTGTCGCCGTTTCTTTAGCTCATTGAATAACTTATTGTTTATAGTAAAGTGAAAATATCTATGTGTGTAACGGAGAATCTTATGATCTTGTGAGATATACTCGAGTCACAGCTGCGAAATCTCATCACAGCTGTCAATACGAGCAAACACGCGAGTGCCAGCAGTTGAAAAGAAGAAGATGCGATCGCTAGTATATGCATTTACAGACTTTTCTCAAAGCTGGTATTTGCAGGTTTCAGCATTTCCTGTCGTGTCTTCGAACAACAAATGTCCCGTTAATGCTCTCCTCGCATCCAATCCACAGAAACCTACCGAGTATAACTTAGACGCCGTCAGCCGTATGTCTGAGAACACTGCGGATTGCTGAAGCCAGATATTGGTTGCTCCCAGTCTACAAAATGATCTGTGAGGCCGAGAGCTATCTAGTGGAGGTATCGAGTATCTCTAGCTCGTGCGATATTGACAGTCCCAGTTATCGCGGGTTCGTTGAGTGAATTTGTGCCTTACAACCTTTTTCATTACAGCCGCACATAAAAAAGTAGATTGACAGGGGCTCAAAACGGTGGTCATCGCCCTGGGGCCTAGTGGGAACTGAGGGATGCTTGTACCCTTTCAGTTCAGGTCACTTAGGCTACCCATCCACAAGTCAGCTCGTAAACTCTTTGCGCTTGCATCGATATTTTAAAGAGGCAGTGTACCACAGCAGCCAGCAGTGTTCTACTGAGATAGTGTTATAAATACGATTGACCCAATTGTGAAAATTTCGCGGCCTTGGTCGGAGTCAAACCCACTTAAGGAGCTCCTGACGACGGTCAATTGCTAGACCACGAAATCGCTTTCCATGGTTTTGGGCTATTTGTTCATTGGTAAATTGTAAATATCACCTTTCGTCATAAGTACCTCAAAGGTCAACCTAGACATTATTACACGACGGAACACCTGATTAAACTGTTCTGGGTAAGGCCAATTTAACCAAATGAGGGAGTACAATTTCGGTTGGATTTCCTTGTATGGCCACCTTAATAGAAGTTGTTTTTATAAATGTATTGGTATAAAGGCTTTCTTTGTTAACCAATAGGGGTTGCTCTGACAGTTTTATTAATTTTTTTCTACTTTCCACAAACTTTTCACCTACGTTTTTAGTTAAATCGATTGATTACATAAGTGACGAGGCCCTTCAGGCCTAAAATATAAACATTTATTATTATAAGCATTAAACATTTAACCACAAATCCGTAAGACATTGGAGCTGGATGGCCATTGACACGGGGTGGCCATATGAGTACCCCTTACCGTTATTTCGGTGAGCATTTTGTTATCGAAAAAAAGCTCAGCCTTGCTTGTCTGTCAACGTTTTCGTTACATTCTGGAAAGGGTTTCTTTGAATTTTATATGACCTTTTACCCCACATAACTTAAATGTTGTTGGAGGCATTATCTGCATTGGAAATTCTCGTTTCAGTGCAACATCATAGCTACGGTCAAAGGTCGTGACTTCCCTTTGTTAGTTAACCGAATAGAACTGCCCTTACCAGATTCAGCTTCTTCGGCTATAGTAGACGCAAAAAAATGACGTTTCTCGAAGAATACGATCGATCGAAGAATTACATCTTGTCGTTCAATGCATTTATGTGTGTGTATGTTATAAAAGACAACGCTCCAATACGCTCTCTAGGACCTCGATTAGACGCCTCAGTTCGATAGCCAAGGTCTGCATAGAACGCAATCAAATTATGGAAAATATTGACTGCGGAAGAATAATCGGCATACTACTAAGCCCAAATTAGGAATCCTTTTCATTCTTACCGGGAGTCAAGGTGGGTAACAGATTAGAGACTTGTCCGGATACATTTTACCGTCCGCCTGGCCGGCTCCACCGTGCGCCCTCCAGTGAGATTGCCCACGGATGACTACTGGCGCGTGGGTGAACTCTAAATGAGAGCAGACGTGCGTTGACTCAACCGCACTGTCTCCTCTTCCTCCAACAAGTCTTGGTTTTATGGGCAAATCAAGAAGGATGGAGTCGAGAAAGGGCGCTCGAATCCCGTAAGCCAGTGTAATAGATGCCACATTAAAAAAGTAAATATTGCAGCCTGACTCTCAGTCCACTAGTAGTTTACTCCACATGTGAGATAAAATTGTCCAGTCAATTGGCACCCATCCAAGCAATGGATTTTAGCGGACCGTAGTAGCTTCAAGCGCGTCAGATTATTGATAAATAAATGAATTTTATATTTTAGACCCGGAGGGCCTCCTTATTGCAAACTTAGTGTTGTATTAAAAAGAAATACAAAGTGGATAAATGCTACTCTTTGTGAGCAACCCCATAGGCAGCGGGAGTGGATATTATCGTAGGTAGATGGCTTCATATCCACCAACGTATCATCATTTTAAAAGAATAGTCAACACTCTTTGAAAAGTATGGTGAATTAAGGAGGAAGCAGCAAAAGAAACTTCAGCCATGAAAGCGGGGGCAGAGTTCAGTCGACCCCCATTAAAAAAAATAAAACATAGGAGAAAAATTGCTTCTATAAAAATCAAGGAGTCGGTTGATAGGATTGTTGCGAAACAATAAGTCAGGACTGTTGATGAGAATGTATGAGGGTTCGAGCCGCTTCTTGCCGTTGGAGAAAGCATATAGCACCAGAGGCTACCGTTCACCACCGTAACACCGCCCGACTGGCTCCAGGATCAACTATCAAGGTGGTGAGGAGGAGGTCATCACGTACAACAGTGTCGAAAGGATGAGGGGACGGTAGAGGTCACGAGTTCATCACCGAAACGCTGGAGCTGCGACCTTGTGGACTGCAGATTCCAGCGACATAAATACAATTTCCAAATATGTGAGCAGCAGTGGATACTTCTTCGGACCCTTCCATAACTGTCTGCATGTGTGAACCCCAACCCGGCTGTCAATACCACCAACTTACACGGCAGAGGTCATGAAATTTATATAAAGTTTCGATACGTGTACTTCATTGTTGCTCACAACGATGGCTTACAAGAACGAACGAATTCCAAGAGCAGCCCCAGGGTAATTGTTCGGACTATAGCTGGATGACTGTAATCCCATCCACAATGAAGGTGGTTCACACAAATGTCTGCGGACCATGGGTCATTCAGTAATAACATAGTTTCAAAGTATAAACACCTAACCGGTCTATGCCCTATCGAGCTCGCGCGGCAAACGTAAATGTATTTTCTCAACGTTGTGTGCAGGTATGGAAAAGCCGTTATAAACATGGGGTATTGCAAGCAGACTAAATTTCATGCTAGTTTTTGGTAACGTAATTTGGACTCGTTATAACAAACAAATCCTGAAATCAGTTAAGTAAATATCTCGTGCAACATGCAACGCAGGGGTGAGAACATATCCTTCTTTATCACAATGCCTAAATACAAGAATAACTTGTTGGCAGCCTCTGTAAACAAAATGCCAACGGAAAAGAGCATAAGTACTCTTGTCATACTTCGCTTCCATTTCAACTTGGACGTTAAGAAGGAATACTTTTTCATCGATTCATTTTTCAATAACTGCGAATGATACGCCAGTTTCTTCAAAGTCAGTATCTCTTCAGCATGCAGCCGCCTAGCACAGGAAGTTGGTCTAAGGCAAACGACTAGCATTAGTACATAGACGTGCACCGATCAGATAGAGGGCACACCCGCTGCTACACTTGA